TCCCTCCGGTCTACCTCCGCTCCTTCTCCACTAACCTCGGAGCTCCCGTATTCCGCAATCCCCTCGGTACCCCTCGATGGTCACCACCCCCTCCTTTCAATTTATTACCTATGCCTCCCTAAGTATGGAGCCCCGAAGACTTCCAGACAGCTCCGACGTCTGCTAGCGCACTTGTCAGGGCCCGGCCTCGGACTCGGAGGCTCCCTGACCTCAACCCCCATCTGGCCTGTCCTCACACTATGCGGGGTATGAGATGTATAGTAAAAGGAAAGATAATATATACACTTGCCTATGCAGGGCATGAGATGAGAAGAAGGGTAAAGGTCTCATCTCCCCGCATGGTTGCTATATAAAGGAATGGGTCACATGCCCACAACTATACAGCTCCTAGAGTTGTGTAGTGTGACCCAGAGGGAACATCCAGGTGGCAGTGCCCAGTAAGCGTGGGAACGTTCTGGGCGAGTTGCTCGCCCAGAACTGTGGCTGTGACCCGTGGGAACATTCTGGGCGAGCTGCTTGCTCAGAAAGTTCCCATGCTATCCCATGTGCGCGCGTGTACACAACACACAAAGGCAACAACAAGGCAACAGTCAAAGAATAAAAGGGGGTAAAGTAGGTGGGGAGTCCGGGGCACCCTAAGGCAGGGTGCTGAACCCTGACAGCACTCCCGCCTCCGCTGGGCAATACACTCGCCTGCCCTGCAGAGCCCACCTTCGGGCCTATCCCTCCTTTCTGTTTCTGGGTTATCGCCTGCCTTTCCGTTAACCCTGTAACCTGACTCGTTGGTAATATTCAGTCGGCTAATGTTTAACCCCGTTAGCTCGGCTCGGCTTGGCTCTGCCATTTGCGGACCCGTCTTTGCTGTAACTATATATATATCCAACTTGTACATAGGTTACACTTCAGTAATAAAATCGACTAGAGTTTACCCCCCTTCAGTTCTGGTTGCCAGTTAGTAAGTTAGGGCACGGACGTGTTACTTGGCACAGCGCTCCTGGCATAAGTCACTGAGGCCGAAGCCCTCTGCCACGGAGACTTTCCCTCGTCTCAACCTGGTCTCTGACACGCATCCTCATTTGTACTCCTCCTCTCTGACACTTGGGATCACCTGCAGAGCCATCTGCAATACCCCAGCTCCACCTGGGCTGACGTGGCACCCCCACGTGACCTGTTCCTGCCTGTATATAAACCGAGCTGAAGCAGAACCGAAGAAGCAGCCTTCTTCTCACTACTGCTTCAGGCAAGTATCTTACTCCAGCTTAGTTTAGTTTAGTTTAGCCTTCCATTCTAATAACAATCACTACTGCTTCAGCCTAAGAAGCCAGACAGGGATGTGAGCCCAAGTGAGGGCCATTCGCTATACATTCCCATTACTCTGCTGCCACCCGAGCCACTAGTGCTGGGGGCCACGCCGCTACCCCTGCCTCTCCTGCGCTGTCCCTGACAGCAGAAGAAGGCTTCAACCTAGTCTCCTCCACCTCCTCCAGCATGGTGACTGAGGAGCAGTACCAGGACCTGCTGACCAGGTTCCAGGAACTGCAAGCGATCCTTGAGAGCAGAATCCAAAACCCACCACCTGCACCCAAACCCAAAGCACCCAAAGTCGCCGCACCCACCACCTTCGCTGGAATGAGCGAGGACCTCGACCGCTTCAAGGTGGAATGTGGGATCTATTTCCATGTCCGCATGGCAGAGTTCCCTGACACTCTGTCCCAGATCCTCTTTGTCTTGTCGTACATGAAAGGAGGAGCTGTGGGAGCATGGGCAACACAGTGCACGATCACGCTGCTGACGGTGGGATCTCCTGCAATCACTATGGACGACTTTATGGCAGAGCTCGACGCCATGTTCCAAGATCCAAACCGTGAAGCCACCGCCCGACAGAAGCTTGCCACCCTGTGGCAAGGTACTGACTCCGTGGATAAGATTATCCAGGAGTTTGAGATCCATGGCCCTGCCTCGCAGCTAGGCGATGTGGGGCTGGTAGACCACTTCAAATAAGCGATCAACGCGCAGCTCTGCGAGAGCATCTATCGCCTGCATCCCATGCCAAGGACTTGGGCAGAGTGGAAACAGGAAGCCACCCTCCTCGACAACCAGTGGCGGCGCTTCCAGGCAACGCAACCCTGCCTCCCCCTGTTTAAACTGCCCCTTCCCCCCACGAGACCGCCACCGACAACCCCCCAGCCCTCCGCACGCCTGCCACCTGGACCCCTGCCATGATCCACCACCACCCCTGTAACCCCCACAGCCATGGCCCTGCGCCCCCCAGCTCCGCTCCCTCAGCCAATGGACCTCGACCGTTCAAGGGCTGACCTGCAACGAGGGCTATGCCACAACTGCAACGCCCCAGGGCACTTTGCACGAGACTGCCCCCTCCCAAAGGTTCACCAAATACGCCGCATGCACCTGGAGGACCTTCAAGCACTTTCAGAAGGGCTGAGAAGCCAGCTGATGGGGACACCCAAAAGAGATGAAGAGGGAGAGGAAGCAGACCCCCTGGAGGATTTTCAGGAAGGCGACCGGTGAGGGATGCATCCTGGCCACCCACAAGCAATAGTACCCAGTGTAAATACCGAGATATGCGCAAGTCTGCACCATCATCCAAATTCCACTGGGTAATTGCTAAGAAACAGAGGAAAACCGCATCCTCAACCAAGAAAGGCATGAAAGCTGCTGGCCCACCGCTTGAGGTGGCTGTCTCCCCACCTGCCATCTACATGCTCGCCAAACAGTCCCCCCACTCCCTCAACATGAAAGTAAAAGTGACCACATTACCGTCCCTCACTGCGGTCGCTGTTTCAGTGCTGTTAGACTCCGGCGTGACTGGGAACTTCGTAAGCCCAGACTTCATCCAGAAGCATGGGCTCGAGATGACCCCGCTCCCCCAGCCCATCCCAGTGCGCAATGTAGATGGAACACCAAATGAGAATGGGGCCATCACTGAAGAGCTGGAAGCCCTGTTGGCATTTGGCCAACACACAGAGTGGGCCTGCTTCACCATGGCAAACCTAGGGCAGATCATTGGGCACTTGTGGCTGCTACACCATAACCCAGAGGTCAACTGGGCATGGCAGAAGGTCATCATGTCCTGTTGCCCCTTGTCAGGGCACACACCCTGACTAGCCCGGACCTGGACCCGTGTCCGGACCCGCCACGCTTCCCGCATGCATGCACGCTCCATGCGCTGCATGCTCCGGGCCCGGTTCCTACCCCTTCATGTGACCTCCGGGTATCCCCAGAAGTTTTCCTGATATGGTGGCCACTGTGGGAAGATGAGAAGTTAGCTTCCTTCTCATCTTCTTACCCACAGTAGGTTGTGCCCTGGATAGGGCTGGTTACACCAGTGGACCATAGGGGAGGGTCATGGGGACCCAGGAGTCGTCCCCTGACACCCCTCCGCCTGCCGGTCACTGCAAACAACCACTGAGCAGACCCCCAAAGTGGAGCCTGGGGACGGGATCTACTGTGAGGCCCTGGCCCATGTCTGTATTCCGCCCACAACATCAATTGATGTTGTGTTGTCTGATAATTATGTCATGATGCTAATTTAGTGGCGGAAGCTTCTCTATTTATTTGTACCGAGAATGTATATAAACCCTCGGGGTAGCTGTCAAAGGCGGATCAGCCTTTACTTCTACCCCGTTAATATACAGCCCATCAAAGCGTATACTTAGATGGACTAACTGAGGCCTGAGGCAAATGGGGGAACGGAACGTACCATCCCCAAAACAAGTAAGAACCCTTTCACTTTTTTACGCTCTATTTTCTTTTCCATTCTTGGCACTGTGTTACCGGCGCTGTAGGCGGGCACAGCCGGTACCACGCAAACGAGCCGATTATCGCGATTCTACCACCCACGTCAAGCATTCCACTTCCGAAACACATCTACCACTGTTTCATATACCCCTTCCACGTTTCCTATATTTTTTCCGATTTTTTCAAGCCATTCCTGACCACGGACAACCATCAGTTTCCAAATTGGGCAACTGTCACCCGCATATTCCGCCGCTTCCTCTGTATCTCCATCAATTCTCCACCGATCCGGACGAATTTGGTATCGTTGGAAAGCCCTTGTCAACACGAGTCGAACAATGTTACGAGCGACGGATTTGGTTCAGCGGTTGAGGCGATCGCCATGGTTCTTTATTTCCTTAACAACATCAATATTGCTTTGATATTGCTTTTTTTCTTAAGTGTTCCTTGTGGATCTGTTTCCGTCATAAACCCGTCGGATCATTCGGATTTCCACGTATTTCTTTCATATTTATAGTTACCCTCTTTCCTGTATTTACAAAAAAAAAAGGACTCCCCCAAAACAGAGAGAGGTGCTCCCCAAACGAACATGAAGTTCTAGCAGACGTTACCAGCGCCCAGAGCGGCGAATACGAAGCCAAAGAGGCTCAAGACATAGTGCAGGGACAGAGTTCCCATTAGTTTGATTATCAGTGAGATTTACGAGATTTTCATTTTTATCACATCGCACCCGGACCATTTCCCCCCCCCCTCCTCTTCATCCGAACCTCCCCTGAGCACTACCAACTCCGTGGCCCCCTCTCTTTCTCGTTAGGGTGGTAGATCCCTTGCCCCCTTACAGTGCCGAAACCCCATTTGGCAATCACTGCATTTAGAGAAAGATTATCAGTAGCCGAATAGTACAGGGATATCTGTAATATTCTCTGTTGTATTGCATGCTCAATGATTGCAGAATAACTCAGGGATAATTTGGGACTCCTGCAGACGTTGACAGAGAATAGCACAGCGATTTAACTGGCCGGATTTGGGGGACACCAGCTAGGTCCTGGCAGTATCCATTACTGAATATTTCACTGATATCACACGGAATAAGAGTCCGACGTAAATACATACAAACAATCCTTAAATCCGACAATATTCTGGTGCTACTCATTTTCGCACCCCCTTTCCGTGTCATACTTGTCAGAGCAAATTAAGATAGCAGTACTACAACTAGTACAATTAGTACTAGGGCTGTAGGAACAATGAGTACATCCAATGGACTTCAACATCCTGAAGGCGACCTGGATACGCCATCCACCTTGCCAATGTGCCAAACTCAATCTGCTCAGCCAGATTTTAGCAGTAATGCAACCAGTGCCAGCACTCTTGGCATCCCCAACACATATGGGCCCCTAGCCTCCCATAATCTGTTCCCATCCCCACCATCATGGACCGGATCAAACGGTTATTACGGACTGAACCTTGGTGAGTGTGAAAAGAGAGATAAGAGAAACAAGTGCTCACTGAGTGCATGTTAGGGATGTCAAACACTAGTACTCCAACTCACACTAATGTTCATCCAGGTGTTGGAGGGCCTATGTATGGCCAGCAATATTCACCTTTACCGTCTGGTCAGTCAAAATATGACATGCCATTAATCAATATTAATATTAATGAGAATCCGTGCTTACGTGACATATTTCCAGGCATACCGACTCCCGCTACGCACAACATCAGACTTGAGGCGATGCAACACCACTCCACAGGCCAGAGTACCAATTTCCCTGGTACCAGTCACTTCCAGGATGGGGGTCTCACTTGTAGTCCTTTGGGGCCATCCTCTCAAGAGGCGTTTGAGAAGCTAATCATGGGCTTGGTCCAGAAAAAAGTAGATGAGAAAATGGAAACTATTTCCCAGCAATTGAGGGAAGTGACTCAACAAGTGGAGCTAAATGCTACCAACAGCACTGCAAACACTCACCTGAACAGCAGAAACAGTGAGAAAGGCCAGACAAAGGACAAGTGGCCCCCCAATGGACGCGTGCGTCATGTGTCTTATAATGTGTAATGTGGGTCAACCTTACTGATCTAACCTTGAATGCCCAGGACCCAGTACGGAAAGCATTGCGTGATGTGATGGGTTGCAATGTGAAAATACCGGAGGCAGCAGATTTACCATCGCCTTTGTCAGATGGAGCTCCATCGCCACTCTGGGCAGATGGAGAGCCTGTCATTACCCTGAACTGGTGGTTAGGGCTCAAGGCACCAATAAATCAGAAACTGATTAGTGAGGCGGTGAGAACTAGTCTAAACACACCGGTACGTGGAAGCGACATGCTCTTGTACAACCACTGATATTCCTGGCAAAGACAATTAAGACCTGGATTGAAGAGGGAAAGATTGTCCAGAATGATGTCTGCGACGCCGCAGAGCAATACTTCACATCCCTCAAATTCAAGTGGACCAAATCACAGTCTGAGAGCGGCCGTCAAACTCTGCTAGATGCGTGAGTGCGAAACACGATGATGGCACGATCAAAAGCAGTACGTGGTTATTGCCTGATGATTGGCAATATTGATTATTAAGTTTCTTTACACCAGAAAGCAGCCAGGCGGCGTGATGGGGCAGAAGGGCTAGAGGGTAATGTCGGAGTCAGTAAGAACGAGATGGAGTCGGTTATCTTCACCGACTATATGTCTTCTGACAATGACATGGACACTGAAGTTGAAGGCGAAGTTGAAGGCGCCTCGAGGAATGCAAAAGTACCACATATAATTCGTCGACAGAATCTGTGGAGAAGTGCAAAGGCAAGTCATAACTCAAAGCTTACCACAAAAGATATGCATGGCTGACTGGTGAGCCAAGTTCGTTAAGTTCCTTTACGCTTTAGATCGGAGCTGCAGGTTGGCGATGGAGGCCAGGGCACGCTTGAAGGGTAAAAAAATGCACCACCAGAACATGCATAAACCTGCAATACATGCAGATTACACTGGAGACACATTATCAGAGCGCCTAACAAAGCTTCCAGTCCCAAGGTTCTTAATAACGCCAGCAATCAATGCAGAAACAAGTGAAAAGATGGCAATTACCGAAGCCTCACCTTGGTGGGATGCTATGAATGTGGCGGACGAATTGGTAGATGAGACGGATTTGGAAGCGATTCGGAAAATTGAAGAGCAAGAAGCTCAGCTTATTGCCAGTCCTGATACTAGTTAAATACCGGCCCAAAAACTGCTGTAAAGTACCAATATGCAGTAGTACAACTGTCCGGATATTCCGGAAACTGTACTTCGTCAGTTAAGGTGGTATGTAAGTAGTACATGCCAGTTAGGATAGTAGCATGCCTCTAGGTAGCCAAAAAAAAGAGGTTACATGACTCTAGGCTGAGGTTTATGGTGATACACAGAAGCGTGTTGTTGAACATAAAATCAAGCCTCAATATAAACAAACAACAACATGTCAAAAATGAATTGAATATTATATCGCAAACACCACAAGATCAGTACATATATAATCCTATATGCCTTGTCCATGCTAAAAGATCATAATCTAAGTCATTAGCCCCAAAGTTTCGAAAATCCTGACTTACAGGATCAACGGTGATGGTTACCCAGAGGTTGACGCCTTCAACCTCAACCTCCAGTCATGCAAGATGGCTCTTTATGTTATCCAATGCAATTATTGTCAATGCTCCCTCATTCCACCACTTTCTGGCTTGCCATAGTTTAATGTGAACATCTTTTTCGCTATGAAATGGGTCATGAGTGATAGAGGAATACATAAATGAAGTAATGGCATACAATGGCGTCCAAACTGTGGGTCGCTGTGGCCTGTATGGAAGGAACCATTTAGCAAGCCCGAAGGATACCCTTTTCCCCCCAAGGCCTAGGTCCTCATCAAATGATAAGACTTGAGTAAGTTCCCCGCAATAATGCTCACCTTGAAGTTCTACCTCAACCAGCGAACTTCGAGGATTCTTTGCTGACTGCGATGCAAGATATCTTCTTGATCTGACAATGGTGTAGTGATGATTCCAGCAAGAGGTCGGTAGTTGTGTACTATTGGGGTGAGGGTTCGCTGCAGTGTACTGATGTAGCCGTAGGGCCGAATTTCGACGTTGAAGATGTCCAATAATAGAGATGGACTCTGAGATCGATAGATCGACCTTTGTCTTTGGAGCAGGACCCAACATGACCATCTGGAGTGGTACTTCCTCTGACATCGAGAATTGAGTTGGTCAAGCGGGTGATGAATTGGCAGTGCATGAGCTCTTACCGTCTATTCCACTATCTTCGAGTTCCCTTGCTAATGCTTGCACAGTGCCACGATCATCGTGGGTGGCATTCATGAATAGCAATGCAGCCGACCGCTCAACTTGGTTGGATGACTGGGATGCTTCGTTGAGCTTAAGGAAGTTTTCAGCCTGGCCATCCCAAGGACATATGTATATGCCACACATACTATTCGCGACACCTGAGTTGCATGGTGAAACTCACGAAAGAATGATGCCTCCAAATGTCCACAGCCATGATTATTCGACTTGTAACTTTTGAGGACCTTATTGAGACGCTCAAAGAGGAAAGTCCAGAAGCCGTATACAGGACCGAAGTCACGGATGAACTCTGCTGTGTGGACGGCATAATGATGGTTTGGCTTGATTATGTCGGGGCCAAAGATCTGTTGCATGAAGTGGGATCTTGTGTTCAGATTGCACGAGAGATCACCTACCTCCAGAACGCCTTTGAAATAATTGAGCATGTACCTTTTGCCTTCAACAATTTGTCCCTCAGTTATTCTGCGAGACAACCAACATTTGAGAGCCATCATGAGATTGAAAAAGTTTGCCGGCTCGTCAGGATGTAGATTTGAGGGCAAGTTGCCTGCCGCTGCCACAGGAAATTTTTTCTTTGAGCAGCCACGGGATTTTCCTGAATTTGTAGAGCTGGAGGCTATGGGAAACACTGAGGCTGCCTTGCGCAATGAAGGCTCATGGGATTTAGTAACAGCAGGCTAATCAGGGGGAAGGGTATATTCAGAGATGTAAGTTTGGCACATACCGAAGAGTCTGGCACCATTTCCTTCAATAATTTTGCATGAGCTCGTCTCTCTTTTGCATCCTTCTTCTCCTGAGCCTTCTTGGCAAGACGTCCATTGATTAGGTCATGACAGGCCTCTCGTGCCCGGTTGGTCTCTGTTGGCAGATGGGTGTTCCATATCAAAGGGACCTAGACAAAAGAGTATTGGGGGAGAATATTCTAAGGGGCATAGTAGAGACTTACAGTAACTGTTAGAATGGGCGGATTCAGATGACTCCGGAGTGGAATCGGAGACTTAGCGTGGAAGGACCTCGGCCTCAGTGACTCAGGCAGAGCGCTGTGCCATTGCTGGTTGTCCTGGGGGTCCCTAATTTCGGATCTAGCAGAGGGAAAGTCTCTTGGGGGCATTTCAGGTCGATTTCGGACTGAGGTTACAAGTTACTATGTACATTGTATATAAGGAGGGGTCCGGAATCAAAAGGAGCAAGGGTACTCTGAAAGGAGACAAAGGGAGCTGAAAGGAGGGACAACACCGAGGGTCAAGGGTTTGACTCAATGGTGTTTCCCAAAGGAGGAATGAAGGGCCAAGGCCCAAGGAGGAAGGAAGGAGGATGGGAGTGGGGAATGGCCAGCTGACTGAATAGAAAGGAAGCAGCAGCCCAAATAGGAATGAGGGAGTATAGCGGAATTGAATGGAGCAATGCAATAGTTGCAAGGTCCGACATAAGTCCGGAAAGTCCGAACTCGGAAGTTAAACTCCGGAATATTGGGAAATGTAATTAAATGGAATGAGCTAACCAATACAATGGGTATAAGTGGAGGTGGGGTCAAAGTCCGAGGTCGGAGCTAAGACCGGAGGTTCTGGAGATGGAGATGTGAACGGGATTCCGGAGCGGAGGTCCGGAGCCGGGAGTATAGGTGTTGCGTACTCGTCTGGAAGGTGTCAAGGTTGAGGTTGGACCCGGGATGTTCCAGAGTCGGACCAAAGGTGGTGTCGGAGCCGGAGGTGGGATAACCCCTCAGGAGTCAGCAAGGAGAAGGTGACGGAAGGGAAGTAGGGCTCCGGAATCAGTTTCGGAGTTCCGGGAGCCCGGAGCGGAGGCCGGGATTGTATGGATATGACAGTAACTGGACCAAAGATCGTCACCATGAGCATCCACTGGTCTGCAGTCAGTGAGCCCCCTGCTGGCTCCCCAACAGCGGTCGGCAGCGTAGCCATGTGCCCTGGTACTGTGAACTGAGCTAGCCCAGATGTGATGGGACATTGAAAAGGTTGCATGCATACCTTCGAAAGAAGGGTATGAAGTTGGCCAAGCTCATGCTTTGGCCGGATGATGTTTTGAGCGACCCATATATGATAGAAATGGTTCTTACTAAGACCTAAATCATATACAATCAGTGTGAAGGGGTCACTGGTACTGCTTCATATCGTACCAAGAATAAGATTATGCATTGGGTCAATGACTACCATCCTGCACAAGTTGAAATAAGGGAGATGCGACAGCTCTGTCCACCGATTAGAGTGTTGCATGGCATGTTTTTCTTTCAAAGCTCTTGTCAGGGGATCTCGATATATCTCTCCCATTCTGCAATGCTCCTCATTAGAACAACAAGGACAACCTAGAGAGTAATTTCAGGCAAATAGATGAGTCATGTCTTGTGTCACGTACCTCTGACAAGAAGAGCCTCTAACTCATGCTTCTGAGACAACGTCACCCAGCAGCGAGTGCAGAACATGGTGTGGCTATGAGAGCCAAATCCTCCGAGCTTATGTGCTGTGGGAGCATTGCAAACGACACACAGTAGCACAGCGTGGACACGCCTCCCTTCAGGACACTTGCTAGTTTTGACTATAATTCCTTCGTCCCACAGGTGCAGAAGATCGTTGACTAACGGCCTCATATACCATTGCACCTGATCAGGGCTTGGCTCCTTGGGACCAGGAATGATGCCCGTAAGAAAAAGATTGGATGTTTTGTATCTGTTGAATCCTTAAAGACCGATTGGAAGTGATAGTAATGATAATACTCATTTGATATGAGGAGGGAGATTTGCTATACATAGTGAAATGGGCCCTGATGAGTGGGAGGCAGACTGCTGAGATCGATGATATGTGTTAGAACATGCGGATTCGGACGACTCCGGAATGGAATCGGAGACTTAGCATGGAAGGACCTTGGCCTCAGCGACTCAGGCGGAGCGCTGTGCCATTGCTGGTTGTCCTAGGGGTCCCTAATTTCGGATCTAGCAGAGGGAAAGTCTCTTGGGGGGAATTCAAGTCAATTTCGGACTGAGGTTACAAGTTACTAGGTACATTGTATATAAGGAGGGGTCCGGAATCAAAAGGAACAAGGGTAGGACAAAAGGAGACAAAGGGAGATGGAAAGAGGAACAACACCGAGGGTCAAGTGTTTGACTCAATGGTGTTTCCCAAAGGAGGAATGAAGGGCCAAGGCCCAAGGAGGAAGGAAGGAGGTTGGGAGTGGGGAATGGCTAGCTGACTGAATAGAAAGGAAGCAGCAGCCCAAATAGGAATGAGGGAGAATAGCGGAATTGAAATGGACAATGCAATAGTTGCAAGGTCCGGAGTAAGTCCGGAAAGTCCGAACTCGGAGGTTAAACTCCGGAATATTGGCAAACGTAATTAAATGGAATGAGCTAACCAATACAATGGGTATAAGCGGAGGTGGGGTCAAAGTCCAAGGTCGGAGCTAAGACCGGAGGTTCCGGAGACGAGATGTGAACGGGATACCAGAGCGGAGGTCCAGAGTCGGGAGCATAGGTTTTGCGTACTCGTCTGGAAGGTGTCGAGGTTGGGGTCGGACCCGGAATGTTCCGGAGTCGGACCGAAGGTGGTGTCCGAGCCGGAGGTGGGATAACCTCTTGGGAGTCGGCAAGGAGGAGGTGACGGAAGGGAAGTAGGACTCCGGAAGTCGGAGTTCGGAGTTCCGGGAGCCCGGAGCGGAGGTCAGGATTGTATGGATATGACAATATGAGAACCTAACATGTTATGGTTCAACCCAACCCCTAAGGAGAAAGAAAATACTTACCAATCAGCACCAAGTGTGAGTCCGATGCAAAGCTCTCCATTTGGGCCCATCTCATGATCTTCAGGTTCATTGCGAAAAAAACAAGGATCCGTCGGTGCCGAGAAGCGAACAGGCCATGCAGCCATCAAAAATATCTTGATATATCCCGAGCTCCGGATGCCGATCAGGTAATCTGTGCCATTGATCAAGAAGATCCTCTGTCCCGGGCTCTTGCAGTAAGTCATGAAGCTGCTCGCTGACAAGCTTGAAAGCAAAGCACATCTTTGGATCGTGTGCCTTTGTGTTCCTCTCTTTCACATGAGTATTCTCATTCTCATCATGTCCAAACAAAGGGGTGGTCCCATTGCTCTGAGTGCATTTGGTGCAGAGGGCTGGTGTGGTGTCAAGCGCCAGGTACACTTCTTGGCACGTAGGACAGACAGGGAGAACCTGAAATGAAGGTTCAATGGACATGTGTGAATGGACAGTCATTAAGGTCATGGCAGAGACTGTGGAAGGATCCAGATAAAAGTTCGCAGCACTGAGGATGAGTTGAACTACAGATAAAATGGCCCCTATCACTCAAAATGACACATGATGGTAGGCATGCAGCCAGGTGGCCATAAGATAAAGAATTCGGATGGGTGCAAGATGATGTGTTGCAGAATAAGGTATTCAGGGTTGCGTGTCAGTGTGAGAGAGGAAAGGGTCCGGGGAGTTCTCATCCACACCACCAGATTGAGAGACACAGTGGATTAGTGGTATAGAAGGGAAAGTAGATGATGGTGCTGCCGGAAGGGCGGTCGAGTCGTCCAGAGGTGCAGACCCAGAATTGAACGGAATATTACTGGAGTTAGACTCCTCATCGCTAGATGGTTGGGATCCTGTTTCCTCTTCAGCTGAAGCCTCATCGCTGGGCTGGATGGTGTTGGAATGTGGAGGGGAATCGTTATTGCACTCATTAATAAATCCAGGCAATGGCGGTGCCAAAAATACGTCAGGCTCCGGGCAGCTGCCAATAGGATTAGGTTGTTGGGGAAATGAGCCACTTTCAGAGTTGTCAAATATTTGCCCAGCATTATCAATATCTGAGCCAGTAGCCGAGATCGGTGAGGCAGACACTGGCACCCTTAAGACATCTGAGGCGTAGCGCTGGTAACTGGTGTGTCGCTTTTGAGCATTCTGATGATCGTTCCATGTCTTAATGTGGAGCACTTGGCCCTCGTTGCCACATTTAGTACAGAAACACATCTGTAGAGATTTGGAAATTAATGTTATCAATTCCGCAGCACAAACTAGCCAGTGACAGACTATTACCTTGCTTTTGGGCATTATGGATCCTGTGAGGGTGCTGGAAATTCAGACCACAGCGATCAGAACTCAGTCAGAATTCGGAGATTGACTGCTGGTTCAAGGTAGGCAGGACTCCAGCCTCTATGACTTTGTAATATTTTCGAGGACTTCGCAGACATCGAATTTTCTCGGCAACATCCGCTCAGGCCTTGTGGCCATTTTGGAACTCAGAATTGGCATGTACATACAACCGGCAAACTATTAATGTGCTTGAGGGGGACTGGCTAGAGACGTGTGAGCCTCTGAAAACATCCTTTCAAATGCTAAACAAAGGCTCATCCCCCTAATGAATACTCCAGCATTGTCTGAAACATGATGTTTCGGATCCAGACATGCCATGCGCGGCCCCAACGACATCACATCGAGACTGTCCCAAGGGCCTGATGGATCCAAGATGGGGACGTGTCGGTCTCTGGGGAGGATGAGTTGACGCTGGTATGCAGGGTTGGCTTGCACAGCTACAAGGTGTTCTTGAAGGTGATCACACAGCGCTTGAAACAGGTTGTCCATCTGAAAAAGGGAAATCAGCATGACGCTCACAACTAAATGTAGATTTGTATGCTCACCAGTATGTCATAAGATAAAAATGCCCAATCTCCAGTGGGGAACCCTCCATATTCGGCAGTTTCGTGTGCCATATGAAGCCCTATTGCCCAGGGAACAACCTCAAACCCGACGGTCTCCCAGTAAGACTCAGTGCCATCCCTTGCTAAGATCCACCACTCCTGAGAAACCCATGGAGGAGCATCCGCCTCTGAGGTGCCCACCCAGCGCTGATGAGGCAACTCTGGGCTCACGTGTTGGTTGACTGTTTGTGGAATGCTGTCACAAAGAGGTAATGGCTCAAGGAACGATTTGAAGTGGATTACAATGACCGGCCTCAGCACCTACAATGCTCTTCACTCCTTTGAACTTGAGATTGATCCATCAATGCACCTGAGGATAGAAGTGTTTCACCTTACATGATTTTATTACGATACTATCCTTCAGACATTGTCCAGTAGACTGACAAATGGCGAGGACATGTCGTTTCCAATTAACTGGGAGATTGACGCACAAACATCCCTGGAGCTGATAAGATCGAAATAAACATTAAATCTTCTACCTACTTACCGGGTGCGCTTTCTATTGATACCTAGACACAAGCCCTTGTGCATTTCGGAATGACATGTCAGTTACAAGTATGGATTGCTGTGGCAGTGCCTGCGATTAGAACCAGTTACTGAAGCGCATTGAGAAGAACACGCACGATTAGGTTGTTTTGTTTTGAAAGGGCAGGGTGAAGTAGTGTCGATCGTCCTCCCATGGTGGATGAGCCCCATCAAGCGTCAATGGTGGATGCGGTCGAGAAAGTAAAATCGATAATGCCATCATTAAATATGTGAACAGGCCTGAGCTATACTTGATGCAGGATAGAACATGGATTTCACGGAAATGAGGAATATGGCAGAGGATAGTGCAGGCATGTGCACACCCCTGTTGTATTCTGGGGAAATCCTTAGTTGTGATTTTGCACGGCTTGTAAGTTCAACTCGCACCCGCTCAGAGGCCTGGGATTTCTCAGGGAATAGCTCAGGATAACACTGATTCTGTATTATTCAGCATCGAAATTGTACACAGGATAATTTTGCTCTAAACGCAGTGAATGTGCTTGTTGTTGGCCCCTGACAATGCGTGACTTCAATCAAGTTCTCATGCGAACTTGTTGAATGACTCGACACATCCTCTTGATGTCGTTGAGATACAACACCAGGAGCATGTCTAACGCTCCTGCCAACACAGCTGGCCCCTTCACTGGCCATAGGGTGGAAGATGACACCACCTCAAGTGATGGTGGTGATCTGGGCCTGCAAGGGCCCAGCAACGCATCTCAGACGTGTTGAATCTATATGAGGGACATTGACCAAGTCACAATGTCTGAAGCCCTCGTAGCTGAGACTCTCGCAGCATATGTCCCAATGCGCATGTTGCATCCTCCATCCCCAACCCACTCCCTCGTGTCTGAAATGGTGCGAGTATTACGAGATCATGTCGACCAAGTCGATGAAGACATCGCTGACTTAAGGGGCAATGTCCGTAACATGAATACCCAGATCTCTGGGAATAGCGATAACATCGCTCGTTTAGATCGCAACATCATTAAGGTGGAAGAAAGACTAAACGAGAAACTAAACGAGATTCTCCTCACGCTCTCTTGGTGCGACAAGCCAAAGCCACCTGCAGCAACGGTGGAAAACCCACCTGAAAACCCACCTGCAAACCCATCAACCGATGGGGATCCCATCATTGTCTCTGAGCAGACGAAAAAACCCACTGTTGAGGCGCAGGTGCCCCAAGAGGTCCCTGTAGTCCCCATTAATCAAACGGGTCACCAATCATTAAACTCGCTGTTGAGGTGCAAGCACCCCAAGAGGTCCCTGTAGCCCCCGTTAATCAAACAGGTCAACCAATCATTGGGGTCCCAGTATTTGAAGGGATCCCCACTGCCACTGCTGTCATCACAGAGGCAGCAAGTTCACACCCATCCATCAAGGTACAAGAACCCGATGGATGATTTGTTCCCATCTTTAGTGGAACTAAGCCACCTACCCCGTTGATGGTGCCAGTAACCACTGACGCCAAGGGGAAAGGTAGGTGTCAGGGCACACCCACTTGACCCGCCTCCACCTGGGCCCACCTCACCCGGTTCCCCTTCTCCCACCCTGCACCCCTCCTTCATACCCCTTCCCCCTCTATCCCTCTCCCACTTCCACTTCTATTTCTATTTCCATTTCTATTTCTATTTCTACTTCACATGGACGACCTTTCCCTTATATCCATGTATTATTGACCCGCCCACGACACACACACGACATGCCTAGCCCCGGACGACCCCGGACGGCTCTAGGGCGCAACCTAGTGCGCGCGCGTGCAGCATACACCCTCGGGATCCCCCATGGGGACACCCGGGTGACTGCAGCTGTATGCGGGGTGACGTGGCGGACCTCATGTGACCCAAGCCGCATGTATATAAACACACCTGGGGTGGGAACCGAAGAAGTAACCTTCTTCTCAACATTCCCACTTCAGGTAAGTAGCATAGTTCCCCTTTTAATAATAACTCAACATTCCCACTTCAGTCTAAGTGGCCAGGGATCACCGTCCCACATCGGGGCTGCCAGTACGCACGCCCGATCCACCCCCCATGAGGTCCTCAGCACCGGACGCTACGCCCAGACCGCCTCGACCCCGGACGCGACCCTGACAGTAGGGAGATCGACCCAGGACCACTGGCTGGATCATCAACTGTGGGGGAGAGTGGAATTTCTCCACTCCATTTCAGGCCAGGCTTTGTGCCCACGCCATTCATTCTGTCATCGCAACCCATGAACAGTGGGGTGAAAATACCATGCATTGATGTTACTCAAACACGTAATCTCCCTCCCGACTACAGGAGAAAGAAAACAGTGCCAATGAAGGCCACTGTGGAGACAATACAGGAGGAGGATGATGACATGGAAGTTGTCAATGTTCCGTACGATTATCACACACGGAAAAAGCACCCGATCTACATCCAGGATCGTGTAGATGACATTGGCAGACAGCCTGCCAAGGTCAGACCAATCTTTGCTGAGTGTAGTCTCAGCGAATCCACTTTCGACTTTAACGCCCATTGTCATATCCGTGCATACCTGATCCTGACCCGACTCCCGGACCTCCTCCTTCACCACCTCCGGAGTCCTACCCTACCGCTGTCCATTCCGATATTCACCTTCAGTCCTGGCACCACACCTCCTCTTACCTCCCATGCCACCTCCACTCCTCCTTCCCTCTCCTCCCCTATCTCCGTCCGCTCCGATACTCACCTCGGACCAAATACCACCCCCCTCACCACCCTCCTACTACTCCTCCTACTCCTCCGCTCCTCCCTCACAACACCTCCACCCTTCCGTCATCCTCCTATGCTTCTCCTGTCTGCTCCGATACTCACCTTCGGACCTGACAACTCTCCTTTCCGCCACTCCTTCCCTCTTCCCTTTCTCCTCTCTCTTCCCTCTGGTACTCTTCTGCCAACCTCCCGCCAAGTTATGACCTTCCACCGCTGTCCTGTACTTCTTACTCAGGCACTGCTCGTACCTTTGCTCCAAGCCTCTGTCATAGTCCCTACCTCGGACTTTGACTCCACCTTGGTCTTAGTCCATTGCATTGGTGACCTCATACTACGTAAACACCATTGCCAATATTCCTCGGACTTTCAACCCCACCTCCATAAGCTCCATAAGCTCGTAAGCTCCGAGCTCCACGGATCATCTTCGGCACTTTTGCCACTTGTAATGTATTCCTCGTGTTTCCCCCTCATCCCTACCTGGACTGCTGCTTCTTCCCATTCTAGCCAGTTAGTCATCATCCCCACTTCTCCTCATCCTCCTGCCCCTCTGGGCCTCGCCCTCCTTACCTCCTTTCGGACATATCACAGGTTCTGCCTTATGACCTTCGGTACCGCTCTGCTTCTGTCATCCCTTTGTTCCCGTTCGGACGCCTTCGTTCCGATTCGGATCCCCTTTGTTTCCTTGTGCTTTCGCCCCCTCCACTATATATATTGGCGCTTGTACATACTCGTTTTGGGCTCAGTCCAAAATCGACCTGAAATGCCCCCTAGAGACTTCCTGCTCGCCTACTGTGAAATTAAGGACCAAATGGACAAACAGCAATGGCACAGCACTCTGCTTGAGTCGCTGAGGCCGAGGTCCTTCCACGCTAAGTCTCCAATTCCACTCCGGAGTTGTCTGAATCCGCCTGTTTCTAACACCCATCTGGATACAGACGCGGCATTCATATACAACATGGGTTGTGGGGCAAATGGTGAAAACCCCGAAAGACTGTCCCATGGCACAGCACTCAGACGGGTGCTGGATAATTACCACCATTTCTCACAACCACCTGCGGCTCCGGAAGGGAGCAAGAGGCATGTAGACCAAGTTAGGTCTAACTCAGGAAGAAGGCCCTGCTGTCCGAGTGGGGGTGGTGATGATGAGGATGGTGGTGAGGGTGGCTCATCCTGGCCCAACCCACCATTCCCTGACCCATTTGGCACCGAGATAAAACAGGAGCCTTCATCTAATTTTCCAAACCGCTCGTCTGTACGACCCGGTTTGTTTGACTCAACCATGTGTTCATACGCAGCACCTGTGGCACAAATAGTGCCTGACCCATCTGAGTTCATGGCTCAGCTTTTTGAATCTGCACACCGAAGTGTAGGAGTTCGAATCCTGCAGCCACTGCCTGCAGATGTCCATCCAGAGCTGCTCAAAAAGATGCAGGGACTAACTCCGACCATTAAATGGTCTGGAGAAAATTGTCATATCCATCCCCAGCCATCGACTTCCACTCCCTCTGATCCCTCCAGTCTACCTCCGCTCCTTCTTCACTAACCTCGGAGCTCCCATATTCCGCAATCACCTCGGTACCCCTCGATGGTCACCACCCCCTCCTTTCAATTTATTACCTACGCCTCCCTAAGTACAGAGCCCCGAAGGCTTCCAGACAGCTCCGATGTCCGCTAGCACACTCCTGCCTCCGCTGGGCAATACATTCACTTGCCCTGCAAGCCCACCTTCGGGCCTATCCCTCCTTTCGGTTTCTGGGTTATTGCCTACCA